GTGGCTGCGCACTCTTCAAATAATTGCATATGAAAACACATGCCTAAGTTCATCCGTCATGTCATGTCGTACGCCCCATTAAATGTTGCTTAGTTGCCGGTCGCTTCGCCTGTCCACTTGTCTAAATCGTATTTCGAATCGTTGTGTTTGTCGTTGGGTTGTAGCTCAAAATATTGTGCCCCTTCCAAATGTCAGCGTTAGCTACACTCTCCTTCAGCGCACTTATGCTTGCGGCTTTTGGGCAGCATACGCCAAGTCTTGTGCATCGAGCGAGCGTCCCCAGCCACCGTGACCGGAGCTGCCGTATGAACCAGAGGAGCCAGCATCTGCGCTGTAGCCGCTGCCGTACGAGTCATGGCTGATGGAATGCGATGAGCTGTGGTGTGGGTGTGCGACCACTTCATAGGTGACGTGCTTCTCCTGTGACAACAGCTTCTTCAGGCCGATCACAGCCGACAGCACCAAGGCGATCTTACCGATGAGCAGAGCCTTACCGGCAATCAAAGCGATCGCGCCCAACAAGAGTGGCAGCAACGCGGCGGCCTTGAGGGCAACTAAAGCAAGAATGGGGCCCAAGATTTTGGCAGCCTTCTTCTTCTTGCCACGGCTCTCTTCGGTCGCGTTGGGGTCGTCGCTACCGCCGAACAACGATTCGGAAACATCTTCGAGCGCACGTCCAGTTGAGCTGACGGCTTGGACAATATCGGCGCCCTTCAATTCAACTTTGATGGTGTGCGTATTCAGGAAGCCAGAAATGCGGTTAAGTGCCAGCGATTCGAATGACTCATCGCCGGAAATGGAACGTGCGGCCTCGGTGACGGGCGCATCGGGTGAACGCACCACCGTTACACCTTCGGTCAGCGAGAATTGTTCGCGGGCGGAGAGCACTTTGTCGACGAAGTTGAAGAGCTTGTACTTGACGCACGACACGGAATCCTTGCGCAGGCAATCGCTGTAGATGCTATCCATGATGTCGTTGTCGCCGCTGATGGCGTTGCGGGCATGACCGCGCGTCTCCTCGGCGGGCAGAGCGGCAGCAACTGTGATCAAACACAAAACACCGAAAATCGCTTTCTTTTGTGACATTTTTGCGAGCACTTTTGTTTCGTTTATTTGTAAGTTATTTGTTGGCTTGGTTTTCGTCGTCGACTAATTTCAGTACGCGAAATTTTTTCGTTATGTATTTAATTGTTGTTGCGAAATTTTTTTTCAGTTGTTGCTTTGAAACTATTCAGTTGAAAGTCCTTTTATTTGGTTTTCGTTTTTTAGTTTTTGACATGAAATTTGAACTTGTACACTTTCGGTTGAATGCACTTTCTCTTTTGTCTCCAATTTATTCTTTTTTGTTTTTTTTTTTGTAGCAAACTTAAAAAAAATAGTCTATCCACACTCAACAATAACGGTATCGTACGATAAAAGCGCACCACTCTGCCACTTAGATTATTTGTTGCTCGGGTTGTGTTGCCGTTTAGACGTGAAAGGATGAAATGATACAATTTTTCAATAGCCCCAACAATTTATATAGCGACTACACTCTTCTTCAGCAACGTCAGCAGCGGCCGCAAAGTCACTGTAAGTCGCACATGGCGGCAGACACAGCCACCGAAGACGCGAGCATTGCCAGCGGACCAGCGAAATGGCTTGAGCAAGCGCCAGAGCAGCAAAAGCAAACATACATATACATACACAAATATATATAAGTGCAAGAAGCAGCAGCATAAGCGTAAATTCATATTCTCCATATGGCAACAACAGCAAAATAAAAAAGCACCATACAGCCAGTAAACATTTGCCTATATTACCATTTCGCATTTCTCTTCTGCTGACACTTAGTTGCCGCCAAGACGCTGCTGTTTCTGTTTCTGTTTCTGTTTTTGTTTTTGTTTTTGTGGCATTGTAACCGCTGTTGCAGAGGTTGCTCTGCTCTTGCTCTTTTCACTGCCACTACAATCATTGTCAGTGTCAAAGTGCTGCAGGCAATGCTGGTGGTATCAACGGCAGCAGCAGCAACAGCAGCAGCAGCAGCAGCGGCAGCAACAGTGGCAGTGGCATTGCCAAAGCAAGTGAAGACTGGTTCAGCGGGTTTCTCGCTTAAGTCTTTCATTTTCGAGTTGACGCAGTTTCGCTTGCTGCATGCGGCTGTTAGTAGCAGCGTCTCTTGTTTAACTTAAATGAAGTAAGTATGAACACATGTAAGTCTGTTTGATGGCACTATCAATTACAACAACATTGGCTGTAATTCCATTTGCGATAATAAAAAAAAAAGTGTTATGTGTGAAAAAGTAGAAAACATTGGAAGTTCAGTGCATAAAATTTGAGTGGAAATTAACAATTAATTTTGTTGCATGCAGGCGGGGACAGCAAACCAGCATAAATACATAAGTTCACCATACGATGATAATATGCCGCCGATAGGCTGGCAAAGGCAAATAAAAGGATATTAACTTTCGAATTTTAAATGCAAATGCCAATATGCTTAATTTATACTATAAAAGCGTCCCTAGAAAAAAGAATGAGTTTTATTACTTTTCCAAATTTTAATTAATCGAAAATTAACTCGCCTACGGTAAGACCAATTTCAATACTTATATACATGGAGGCTCTTAACAAAATTAACCGCATGTTGCAAGAGTCCATATCACACATACATACAAGATTACCAGTATCCTAATCAATACATATTGCAAAATGGAGCACCCTATGCGCCTGCCTATTGGTTTTGTTTATGGTTTTCATTAGTGGACGGTGTAATTTATGAGAAAGAGGGGTTTCGAATGTAATTAGTTTATGTTTTGCATAAAATTTACATAAAAAATTAAAATCAATTAAATAAGTGAGTTAGGTTAACTATCGCAATATAAATTTTAACAACAACAATAAGACAATGACATGGTTAGTATTAAACAATAATCACTTTAATTCATTTCAGGTTTGAATTTGGTAAAATTAACCAATTTTGCATGCATTGAGAGGCAGAAACTACTGCCAGCCGTTGACTAAGGTGCCCGGGGTATGTGTTAGTGGCGTAAAAATAAATATTTTGTTTGAAAATGTGTCCGATAGGATACGCTGGAGTAGAGGTATCTACAAAACGCTTATTTGGAGTCCAATTTAGTTAAAATTAAAAACTAGTTTTACCCATACAAGTAGAAAATTGTATTTTGGAAAGCCATAGCTAAAGGCGGCGCTGGAGTCGATATATCTCTAAAGCCTGTATTTAAAGTCCATTTGGATTTAAATTCAGCACATTTGTCTATGAGCCGTTTATTTTGAAATTGACATATATAAGTCCATTGAACCATCATAAACAATTTACAAAATTTTGTACCTGTTCCCGATGAAGTTGAACGAATTTAAGACGCGAGAACGTTTTTTTGCTAAAACGGGCTGATAGGTGTCGCTGCAAGGAAGATATCTCTAAAAATGTTAGCTACTCGATAAGTACTATTGGGGTCAGATTGTCTCGAATTTATGAGGTACCGACTTAATTGTGGGAAAAATTCTGGACATGCGGGTACATCGGTTATATAATTATAATAAAACCAGTGCAAGTTTTAAGTGGCTAAGCACTTGCGTTGATTTTTAATGATTTTTTCTTGCCGACGCCACAATTTATATATTTTTGTAAGAGGCACTTCGATACTTTTCGAACTGTAGACCGCTTACGCTATTAGGAGATCTCTTCATGACATATTGACGAAGAGCTCCGAAAAGTTCCAAAAAAAAAACACGCTTTTCGAAAAAATCTCGAAGTATCTTTGAAAAGAAAATTGTGTACTTATTTCGTGTTCATCAAACCAAAATATGCTTGAAAAACTATAAGTTAACGCGAATAGTATAACATTTGTAGAGCAGTGTTACTGATACTTGTGGTGCTGGTCTCCATTTTATTGCCGTCCATTGTCTATGGCCACATAAAATTTAGAATGCATTGTAGTTGTCAATCAGTTATCGACACTGCTTATATGTTGATAAGTAAAGGGCTTCCGCCATTTATTTTAAAATGTCAAAGTGTCAAATGCGGGACAAAGGCAGGACACTTGGAAAAAATTAGTACATTTTGAGGTTTTTCTGTTTTGAAAAACTACCCAGTACAGACCTTTGAATACTAGTACGGTCCTGCAAAAAACAGGACGCATGGTCACCGTAACTCTAAGACCCATAGTGACTCTCATACTCAAATGGTTTTTAAGAATTATTTATGCTCTTTATAATGCTAAGCCTCTAAAATGTGAACACTTTTAAAACACAAAAAATCGATTCCTACAGGGAATATTTATTTGTAAATTTGTGCATACATATGTATGTATCTATGTATGTACATTCATATGTACTTCGGTACGCGCACGTGCACGCGTTGCAATGCTTTCGCTGCGCAGCTTTGGGAAAATGCAGCTCTTTCTATTTGCGGACAAGTAAGGAATCTGTGGTTTGTGGCTGACCCAAGCCGATGGCCGCCGCAAATTGTAAACCCCAAACCACAATCACATGCAACATTCAACAAGTTCATGTAACATTGTCAACTCTCGGTGACAATAACGCGGCTGTAAGCCGCCTCGCACACACCACGGCATGTAGACTAATACTTCGCGCTAACTTAGGCGACTATTTTGAAATCTTTATTGTTACTGTTACCTGTTTTTCTTGTCGGAATAATATTTGGGTTCATTTTCATTTTCGTTTTTTTTTTTTTTTTTTGGTGTTGGTAAATGCTGTGTAAATGTCCATGAATGATTGTGACATGTTTCATGTATTTTTACAACGCGCCTATACAGAGACTCTTTCTGTCGCATTTATACATATATACATATGTATATGCATTTCACCGCCATCGACACTGGGCAATTTATTTGGACTCCTCACAGTACTTCTATGCAATATCCGCCCGCATACGAGTAGTATTTACGATTATATAGCCGATTTGCATGTCCGCCCGTTTGGCACTTAGCTTATTTGCTAAAGTTTTCCATTTTGTGGCGGTGATTTGAAAAAAAAATTTGGAATTTATGATCGCTGCGGTGGGTATTTGATTGCATGCATCACTACTGCAAACGCAGTTGCGTGGCCCTTGATCCGTGAACACTAACTTAATTTCTGGATATTTTCTAAAATTAATATTTCACGGTTATTTGTGCATTTAACCTGAGGTATTTGAAGTTAATGGGCTGGAGATTTGCTTCCACTGCAACACTAATGAATGCAAGCAATGCATTTCTTTACGTCAGTTAAGCAGATTAGAAATGTTTACGAGTCTAACATTTATTATTTATTCAAAACTTTTGGCAAAATTAATTAAAATACGCAGTTTGTGTTCCACTAAATAGCTTTTATAAAAAAATTTTGCTTATAACCGGGATTAACATATATGATATTCCTTGAAAAGAGTTGCTACATTCTTTAAAACTTAAAACCAATTAATTAATATTTCATATAAAATATTACAAAAGTTTGCATAAATGTAGAACGAAAGATTTTCCAAAACAATATATTTTGAAAATATTTTTTAAGGGGGTTGCCACCTATAAGTAATTCCAAGTGGATTAATTAACAAGGTGAATAAATTATGAAAACAATGTAGGCGTCAAACGAAGGGGATTAAAAGCAGGTTACATCGAAAATATTTCTTTGAGGGTTGCCATCTTTTTAAAAGGTTAAAATCAATTTAAGCTAAATTCAATTTAATTAATATTATGAATAAAGTGTTACAATTCAAGTGGCAAACTAATGCGATTTAAGAAGGCTTTATTTAGAAAATATTTTGATGATGGTTGCCATCTATTTAAAAGCCAATTCCCATTTTTTCATAACTTAAATAAAATATTACAATCAAAAATGTCAATCGAAAGATAAGAAAGCTTTGTTGAAAATATTTTCAAAGAAGGTTGCCACCTGTCAGGAAGTCAATAAGTTTAAGTGGTTGCCACCTTTTTAAA